AAACCGAGGGGGACCAAAACCAATAGATTCAACCAATCCCTAAATGTAAATAGGGGGACCTTTTTTGCTCATGCTTGCCTTTCCTTCTTTCCTTAGGGTTAAGCCATACCAGTGATGGGAGAATAGGTATTTTTAAAGTGATCATTCTAGGGACTCAGCTAGATGGGTGGAGAAAAAGCGTTTTATATGCATTGTATATGCATGATAACACCATGACCCCAGATGGCGTTCCATTTTTGCCAACGCAATTTCTCATACCAAGTTTAAAACACATTTAACTGAAATGCTTCTTTGATGTGCCTAGATGCAGCCTAGGTTGCACTTACATACTGGCAAAAAGCTCCACGTATGCAGTGGTGTTGGAAGAATGCAAACTACCATCCCCACCATTGAAAGGTGGGTGGTGGTGTTGGGTGGACTGCAAAAGCAGCTGAAGCCAGGGGTGGATCTACTATGAAACTAATGAAGCTTAAGCTTCAGGGCCCCTGATCTCGGAGGGGCCCCATAAGTGACTTTAGTCCACATTACTTTAAAAAAAAACCATGTCTAGCAGATGCAACGAGTTGCATGTCTCAAATTTATTAATTTTGTTGTATGTATTTCAACAGCCCCAAAGCTTGAGAGTCAGTAGTTTAGATGTTGCAAAGGTTGTTGTAAACAACCCCATGGAAGAAAATAACAGTGGTTACTGAAACCTTGTTGCTGGTTGTGAAGGGGCTCCCATAATAGCTCAAGCTCACAGGGCCCCCAAAATGTAGGTCCACCACTGGCTGAAGCTGTTGTGCAGCAGCTAGTGCCAGTCTATAGAACAGGCCCTGCTGTACACCCCATGTTAATATGCCGGAGGAGAAAACTATGATTGACAGGGAGGGACATGTTGCCTATTCCTGCCCTGCAGTCTGCTAAATGTATAGATTAGAAGGGTTAATGTGCTTCAGTCACCGATGCCATTGTAAAAGTTCCTCTTGGGCAAATTTCAAATGCAGAAGTTTGGGAAGCCATTAGCACAGCTGTGTTCGCCTTGTGCCAGTGCAAACAGCCCTCCCTTTTTATATTCTGCTGGCAGTTGTGTGAATTGTCAGGCAGCGGTGTGCTTGACCACATACAGTCATTTCCATTCTCATTTTAATTGCCTTTTAAGGAGCACTGAGGAGGTCCAAATAAATATAACGAGCTTCATCAGCCACCTGTGAAATCTCCCACGGCAGCCACACAGAAATATCAAGACGTTGGGAAAAAAATTAATAATAATAAGCATGTACAAGAAGAGCAAATCACAATTCCACCTGTGGAAGTAAACAGGAGGATTTGAGAAGGGCCTAAGAGAGCATCAAGGAGGTGGCGGGGGGGGGGAGAGAACAGGTCCCTGTTGCTGGGAGCATAGAACTAAATCCTTTATTGAGAGGAAAGCAAAAGGTGAATCACGTGGCTGCCTCCTTCTGCAGGAGAGAGAATTTTGCAATTGCTCCAGAAAATCTATGAGGGATGCTGTCTGGTGAAAGGTTCCAATGCACACTTTACTCCTCGGCCAGTTCACGTTGTTCACATTTCTTTGCCCTCTGGGTGACTGCCCAAGAGCTATTCTCTGGCTGTTTCATCCCAACAAGCTTCTTTCACTCTTTCATAAGGCTCAGGGGGTGGTTTAATGACACTGTGCAGTGGTTGCCTTCGGTCATTTCATGTGCTACCCCCTTGTTTTCAACAGGCCTTCTTGCCAGGCCTGGATCCAGGTTTGAGGGGCATCTCAGCAATGTGCAATCTGGCAGTCCCTCAACATCACTATCCCTCAGTATAACTTTATTAGTGGTGAACTGTGGGCACCACCAGCCCTCTGATCTGAGGTGAGCGGATGCCTGCTACCCACAGCATTCCCATACAGCGTCACTCCATGGTAGGGATGGAATTCAATTCAGTTTGCATTCAAAGGTATTATTGTTTCAGAAACAATATGAGAACCGAAGCCAGTGGAGATGGTCCATTAGGGCAACCAGGGCTTAGACTTACCAAGTGAAATCCTCAGCAATTTATTTCTAAGTTTCCCCCAAATTCCCAAAGCCACACTTTTTTCTGTTTCTTCTGTAATCCATTTCAAAGTAGAGAGCGTCTTGGATACTTTTCTGCTAAACATCTGTCAAGGAGAAATTGCTGACAAAACTGTGCACAAATCTGTAAATTAGTCAAAACTATAATACAAAAAAAGGCTTCTTTGGAAGATATACACGCCAAAATTCTGAAGAATTTTCATGAGGATTGTTATTATTATTATTATTATTATTATTATTATTATTATTATTTTAAAGAAAACAGATTCACAAATAGCTGCAGATAGGTGGGTAACAGAATTTGAGATTGGAAAAATGAGAAATCAAGAGAACCAAAACTGACAGTTCCATTCATTGGGCATTGCAGAAAATTTACAGTCATACGTGACTTGCAGATGCCTATGTTGTTGTTGCTGCTGCTATAGGCAAGACAAAGCTCAGGGTATCTGGGCCTAGTTCTCAGAGTAAGTGTTGGCACTACTGAGGCCTGCCAGAAATCTGAGGCCCCAAGGAGGCTGGATGCTGTTTCCTGCAATGATACTTGTTACGTCCGCACATTGTGGAGAGCGTAATATTCCTGGATTCTAAACTACGATAAACCCTAGATCTCACTACTTTCAGAATAAAAGTTCTTGTAGAAGTGAAAATAATGGAGGGGGAAAATCACATTGCAGTGACTTTATCATGTCATGAACGAATGAGAATTTGAGCTGAATTTTACAGGGATTTCACTATGAGCTATTTTAAAATTGTTCTCCTGGTGGAATAAAATATTCTGGATCAGCCAATCGTTTGGACCAGAGTGTGGTAATGGCACGGGAAAACAAAGTATGCAATCAGAACAACATGGGCCAGATGTTTTCATGTTCCTTACGGTATGCAGTTCTGAGCTGCGGTCCTGTGTGTGCCTCATGTACCTGTTGTTTGCGGGAGGGGAGCAAGGAGAGAAAATGACTAAAGGTGACTTAGAAGCAAATATATATTCCTTTGCATCCATAGACAGCCCTCCCGACTGAAGTCTGATTGTGGTGTGGGTGTGGCGGGGCAAAGAGGCTAACCATCCTCATGAATGGCTTTGAAGGAAATGAAAGTGAAATATGAGGGCAAGTGTAACATATGAAACCACTTTTAACACTTAAAAACGACGAGATTTCAAGTTGATGGTGTCTCTTTAAAAGCACTTCGTATATCAGCATGCCAGAGGTTGCTGCAATAAAAGTGACTTCTTCTGTGCGCTTTGCATATATGTTCCAAACTCTTGTGGGCTAAAAAAAACAACCCACACACAAACACACAAGAGGAGGTAAGTGGTCCTTTAGCACTTATTATCCTGCCAACAAAGTATCACTTACTGTGTGGTGTATTCATGCAAACAGCCCTAGGTGTTTTCCTAGCACTTGCCTCATCGCCATCCTCTGTTAAGAAAGCAGAACAGAGAACTGGGTGGCCCAAGAGATTTGTTACTTGTGGTGAAGGACAAGAGGGCTGTCTCGCCACTTCCACATGCAGGCAGTGCCGGATTTATGTATAGGCTAAGTAGGCTGAAGCCTAGGGCCTCTAAATCTAAGGGGCCTCGCCAGCCCGCCCGCTCCCCAGCGGGCAGTCTCCCTTCTCCCAAAATTGTAAACCCAAGACTTCATGCAAGGGCAAGGCAACTCCAGCTATGTCTCTACCTTCAGGTGGGAGATGGGTGGGCATCATTGGGGTGTGTGTCAAGGACTTGCAAGCCAAATTGAGACCCATGTCAGGCTAAATTTGGCCTGTGGGCTAGAGATTCCTTACCCTATCCTATGTAGGGTGCATCTGACTGCATGCAAAGGAGCTAAAAGTGCTAGGGAGGCAGGTTGGGCAAGCAAACAACTTCTAATTTTATGTAGCATTTTCTATGAACCATCTGTCATGGATGCTTTTCTTGAGATTCCTGCACTGCAGGGGGTTGGACTAGATGACCCTCAGGATCTCTCCCAACTCTAAAATTTTATGATTCTATGATTTTACGAAAATGCTTTTTATAAAAATAAAATAAGTAAAATAATTAGGTACCTCTCCATTTCATCCTCCATCGCTGGTTGGACATTTGTGGTTTGTTATTTGAAGGAAAGGTACTTTTCACATACAAATATAACAGAACCATGTATGGAAATTAAATTATTGACACAATCCTAAGCATGCTTACATGAAAGTTAACTCTCTCAAATACAATATGTCTTACTTAACAGAAAATATGTTTAGTATGGTCACCTTCATTCAATATACAGTTATTTTTTTCTTTTGGAAATTGAATATCCATTTATCCCTTTAAGAAGAGATGATTTTTAAAAAAATATCCACAAAACTATGAATGCTCAAATGAGTATGTGCTTTTGAGAATCTTGTCAGTTAAACAAAATTAAACATTCAAATCAACAACAAAACATCCTTTTAATTCTCTTTGGTTCACTGATTTTATTTTATTTTTAGAAAAATAGACATCAGGCCTCCAAGTCTCCATGAAAACCAATGTGGAGAGACCACTAAGTAAAGTAAAAAAAAAAAAAAAAAAATCACCAAGAAGGAAAGAAGAGAATTCACATGGTTCCCGTTGCTAAGGAAACCATCATTTGTGCATGTTCCTTATTCCAACTTTGGCTCTCAGAGAGTGTCAATCATGTTAGGGCTTCAGGAGAAAGAAAGAGACAGAGAAAAGAGTAGATAAATGTATAGGTACAAATAGCATATGTGTGCATGCTGTGTAACTCAGCACAGCAAATTAAATATTGAAAATAATTCAACAATGGTGCCATGTCAGTGTATAGCATAATTCTTTTAACGGTGAGATGTATCATTAAGAACGACTCCAGACAGGGATGTGAGACGTTGTAGACGGGCTACTTTCTCTGTTGTGGGACAATATCTAGTGTTCACCCAACTGTTTAACACATTTCAGATCTTGACATGGGTATCTTGGACTGATAATGATGAGTGTGTGTGTGTGTGTGTGTGTGTGTGCATGCACACGCGCGCACACACACACACACACACACACACACACACTGAAACAAGCCACGTTTGAACCTTTTATCCCTGGTGCATGTGACTAAAGGCTAGCTTCTGAATAGATTCCAGATAGAGGGAGAAACAGGAGTCATTCACGGCTTCCAGTGGCTTCCAGCATGAGTTGTGGTAGCATGAAAAGCAACTCAGAGGCTTATAATCAGGCTGCACTTGTACCATGATGTACCAGGGCTGACCTACCCATGAAGAGGGCTGAGGTAGCCACCTCGGGTGGCAGAACCTTGGGGCAGAGCCCCTGCAGGCACCTTGCCTACTCTACCACCTTCGCTGCTGGTGGAGAAGCGGAGGCAGCTGCTTCCGGTGAGAACCTGTGAGATCTTATGTGCTCCACAAGTTCTTGGCAAAGTCTCACAAGATCTCATGCACTCTGTGAGATTTGGCAAGATTCCAGCAAGAGCTCACTTGGACCTGCTGCCGCTTCTTTGCAGGCACTGTCGCACAACCATATAAGGGAGGCTTGGGTAGCAGCAGGGCAGCACTTTCCCAGTTAGCCTTTTATGGGTCCCCCATGACTGGTACCTCCAGGTTGGGGCTGTGTTTAGGACCCCCATGATATCTCCGATTGTGGGGATTTTTTCTAACAGCATTTGCTCCAGAAATTGCTGTGATGAGACAAATGCTGTCCCTTCAATTATATTTGCAGATCAATTTGCATATATATATATATATATATATATATATATATATTCATATGTGTATATATATATATGTATATATATTCATATATATATATATATATATATATATATATATATATATATATTCATATTAAATATGTAATGATAGTTGTATTGATGAATTGCCTTCTATGTATAAGTCCCAATGTGACATAGCCTTTAAAATGTTTTCCAAAACAGTACAACTGGGAGGGCAGGTTTTAAAACACAAATCGAACAGCTAAGGCAGAAAACTTTTCATTTAGCCTTTCTGTATAACCCACTCCCCTGCCTGGATGACATGTCTGTTCAAAATGTTGCCTCACATAGGGGCACTTGGGAAGCGTGAACATAGACAATGGAGCAATCAATCTCATTTTGCAATACTGCAGTTCACATAGTTTTATTGAATACTTAGCAAACCTAGCCACCTGGTGAGGTAAGGTGGGTGGCAATCAGACAAAAGAGGGGAGCCTTCTCAGTGGTGGCACCCAGTTGTGGAATACTCTGCCAGGGAGGTTAGGCTGGTGCCTGCTTCCAAATATTTCTGGCAACGGGCAAATTCTTTTTTCTTCTTCTTTTTGCCTTTTAAATAATTTGAAACTTGGAGGAAATTAGTTATGCTGCTTTTAGCTGCTGTTTTTCTGTTTTTAGGGTTGTTGTTTTTTTAAAAATTGTTTGCTTTTTATTAATCACATTCTGTTTTTAAGTATTTATAAAGCTATCCCCAAACGCAGGGGCCCTTTAAATGGGCAATCTGAAAAGCATCTATTTAACTATTTATGCATTCATTCATTCATTTATTTACTTAAACCGATGAGATAGTTGTTCCTTAGCAGGTGACATACAAGATCAGGATTAAGACCAAACTCATTTTCATGGGCTTTGTGGGACCTGAATAATGTTAGTGATCAGTGCCCTGGGATGTTCGTTTGGACAGAATTGGATCATAGGTAGGAAAACTATACCTTCCCAAAACTGCAACACCCAGAAGTGAACGCAATGATCCCATGAGCCTGACCCACCACGGTGATCAGTAGTCAACTGGAAGTCTTAAGGTCAAGGAACATAAATGAGAATATTCAGCCCTAGGTTAGCTTAAATGAAAGGCAGTAGGGTCAGCTGAGAACTGATTTGTGACACCATACTGCCCTAGAACCATAACTCATAATCTGGACAATGAGATTTTGTTTTGGAACCATAATTCATAATCTGGACAATGACAATGAGACTCTCTCTCTCTCTTTCTCTCTCCCCCCCCCTCTCTCTGTGTGTGTATTCCCCACAATTTTGATTGCACTTTGAATAAGCTGCAATTTAGTAGTCATGTTGTTGTTGTTAATGAATTTATAATCCACATTTACGTAAAAAACAGCAAGATGGAGTACAACACATGAATATAAAAACAACAAAAGTAATCCTTTAAAACATCACCAGCAACCAAAATGGGGAGACAAAAAATTTAGGTGGACAGACTTAGCATATAGATTTCATTTACCGTATTTCCTATGGCTCACTAAAGCATTCTGCTTTGGGAGAAAAGCTGCAAATATTTGCCAAGGTTTTGGATTCTTGTTTATTTCAGTGGCTTATTTGTCAGCAAATCCAAGCTCTCTTTAAAGAGATGAATTAAATAAGTGATGTGTGCATATGCCACACACATATTTTAGGCGCCTTTTACAAGGAGTCCTGTTTTATAAGCCACTATTAATAAAAGAAATATTTTGAAGAAGAAACTAACAAAGATTGCTTCCTTCCCACCCCCCTTTTGCCTCTTTGTGTGTTCTGCTTTTCTTTTTGTTTTGGTAATGCAGGGACTGCAGAGAACTGACCCTTAAAGTTATAATGTCAGATTGGTAATAAACTGACATCCAGGGGAAAAAAGAAACCCACAAACCCGTTACTTCATTCTACCTTTTTGTGTTTTATCCTGTAATTAGACCTGCCACCATCAGGGACAATCTCCGTTATTAACAGCATCTCCCTCATGTCAGCAAGAGGACCAAAAGTATCTAAGTGAAAACATTCCCCTTAAGTACCAGGCTAAGATATGGACAGAAACTGGCATTCATACAAGCCATTTCCCCCCTTTTATTAACCTTCCTGTCATTAGGGACCTTCACTCTTGTCTATACAATTCTTGCTTCAACCTCTTTTAGTTTTCTGCTATATTGCCATTGGGGACCAGCCTTAAAGTTTTGTTACAAACTTCCCCTTTGACATTACAATTCAGGCCTATCTAGACCAGTAAAAAGGCGCTGTAGAAGGATTCAAATATGTAAACTAAAGAACAGTAGTCCACTGAATCACATTCTCAGACAGATTGACTGGAACCAAGTTAATATTTAGAAAAGGTGATCATGAATGTTCTATGGGGTGTATGAAGTGTTACGGGAGGTGTAGCACCTCTGGTGGGAGACACACCATGCTCCTTCTGGGGTAGTTCATCCAACTTTTGGTCCCCACTCTGCACTTTGCTGTCACCTGTGGCTCTTAGAAGCTGTTAGCCTGCAACAGCAGCCACAGCTTCAACTGGCTGGCTAAACTAGGCGAGGGTAGCCTATGGGTCTCCAAGCCTCGGTGCATTACAGATTTTCCCTTCATGCGAAGACGGGGTCAGGATTGAGCAGACAAGAGCAATAGTGAGTCCAACAGTCAAGAAGATGGTTACTGCACATGCTGTAGAAGGAAGTGAGGGGTAGATGAGGCTCATCAACCTGGGAAGGTAGCCCATCCAGGGGAAGGAAAACTCTGATCTTAAACCTCTGCTGCCTTGTGGGACATCTTCAGGAGAAGAATGTCTATGGAGTAAACCCTACACAAATCTGGAGTGCAGTACCTAAGAGGACTGGATGGTGTCTTGTACGCCTCCTTCTGGCAACTCCTGCATCCAAACTGGTGCCACATGTACTGCTCTGCTTTCCTTTGACATCATCAGTGAGGCTGAGAAGGGGGTCTTGTCATCTAGACAGCTCAGGACCTTCATACACACTGCCCAGGCTTACGCCCTGAAGAGGTCATTTTAGTGCTGCTAATGCAGCAAAAACAATGCAGGAGACAGCAATTAAGGGTTCCTGGTATCTGCAGCCACAGCAGGCACTGTGATTCTCCAGCGGTTTGACTTCACCCCTGGAGGCACACTCCATTGTCTTCGTAAGCAGCTAGAATTTATGCTCGACACAATGCCCCTGCATAAGGAGGGAAAGGATCTTGTTTGGTGCCATACCATGCTCAAGTGGGTGTGTAAGCCACCCCTGCCATATTCTCCAGGTCTGAGCTGGAGAATGGGTAGTGAGGGTTGTGCTGAGTCTCAGAAAGCTGCAAAAAGTCTCACTGCTTTCCAAGCACCTCCAAGTCTCAATATACAGCTGGAGTCTTCATCTCCTCTTCAGGCTCAGGAGAAAAGACTTGTGAATGACTTTAATCCATCTTTATCACAGAGTTTTCTTTACTGCTGAGCTGAAATCAACAGTGTGTTTTCTCAGCATTACTGCATTACAGCATTACAGCATTACTCATGACTGTGTCCCTTCCCTGGGGTGATTTTCTGAACCCTTGTGAAGAGTGTGTGAAACTGGGGGGTGGGGAGAGGGAGGGAGGGAGGGAGGGAGAGGGAGAGAGGGAGAGAGAGAGCGAGAGAGCGAGAGAGAGAACTTCAGGAGAAAAAGGAAGCATTGCCCTTGATGTGGCAATAGGGCTGATTCTACATTGCTTAGATTCCATTATGTTCATGGAGGATAAGGCTATCAATAGCAGCCAGTCCTGATGACTGTGTATTACCTCCACTGTTGGAGACAGTATGCTTTTGGAGACTTGTTGCTAGGAATTGCAAGTGGGGAAAATGTTGCCCTCAGGTCCTGCTTGTGAGCTTTCCATAGGCATCCGGTTGATCAGGATGCTGAATTAGATAGGCCTTTGGCCTGACCTAGGAGGACACTTTTTATGTCCTTAGTTGATTAATTAGGATACACATCCAAATGTACATCCTGTTGAAAGTAAAGCAGTGCTGTTGAACACCTGAATGCAGATGCTGTCCCTGTGCATAGCTTTACTTGTAATGAATGTATTTTCAGATATGAATCCGAATGTCAATCCACAACTCCATCCCAGTCCACCCCGCCCGCTTTTTTTTTTAATGATATTTATTAAAATTTCAGAAAAAAAGAATTACACAAAAACAAGAAAAGTAAAAACAAAAAACAGAAGTAAAAATACAAGAAAAATACAGAATACAAAGTACAGAATTAAAGAATAAAAAACGCTTAAAGAAAAAAAGAAAAGAAAAATAGATCAATTTTTCCATACCTTACATTCATATCCTTAT